ATATGTATATATTTTCAATTAAAAATTTAACAATATTTTTGTAATATATTTAAAAAACTTTTCTTATGTACTTTATTTTTTATAATATTGCAAATGTATATTTCATTTTATTAAATATTTATTAAAAATAAAAAATAATTTTGTCCGAAGGCTTTTAGACGATCAAACCATTTTGGCCCCACCACTACTAATAAAATGTGATTGCCTATTTTTGTTATAGTCATGATCGTTAAAATAAAAAAGACTAATCACCAACCACCTGTAAAATATAAAATTAAAAGCGAAATGAATAATAAATTATGTATTTTTCTTCTTACTAAATATACACGATTAGCTAAAAATGAAATCACATGCATCTTTTATACCAAGGAATTGAAAGGCGGATTTGAAAAGTTTCAGAGTGGTATAAAATTGGAGCTCAAGTGTAATATAATTTGGAAATCAGAAGACCCAAACTCATACATCAACTCAATAAACGATCTAAAATTTAAGAATCACTCGATCTAACATGATCACACCCGAGGAACCTATTATCATCAGGCCTGAACCCATCAAAGTAAAGAGGAAGGGAAAACTGTTGAGATTGAGCAGATTGTAAAGAGTATATTTAGAACAGAATTGGGTAAGCTGGTACAAGCCGACGACTAATGCAGAGGTTTGTAGAATGACTAAATTTAATCATACATAACTTGAATTTTATTTAACCACAATCCTTAGCCCAATATACTTGTTTCATTATTTAGGGCAAGTCTCCGTGCAAAGTTACAGGAACGAATATTATACTGGAACCGAAATTCTCTAAGTTGAATTTACTACTCTATTTGATGAGAGAAGAAAAAAAAGAAAAATGTTCTACGAAAATATATAATGCCTTATTAATATCAGCACAGCAACCTTTTATTGACATCAGAAATCCCTATAACGCACCTCATTAGAGTTTGGATCAAGAGAAAAAAGATAGTTCCGTTAAAATCAGCAGTAATATAATCTTAGACAAAAATAATGATAACTTAACTAGTGGAAGGAATTGCCGCTTCTTTACAATGAAGGGACCTATTATTCCGGCTTATTCTTCCCTCTTAATGACCTTTGCATGCAGTATCATATGATTTTTTATATAGAGGCTGATGACCATCAAGAAATGACTGAATATCTACTGACTCATAACTTCACCGCCAATTACCTGGAACAGACATGAAGTATGACTTCTCCAAGATAAAAATACCAAGGGAAGTTCTCGCCACCAATTGCCTGGAACAAACACGAGGGACTTCAGCAAAGTCAGTGGATCAACTGCCGCCGCCAATTGCCTGGAACAGACACGAACAGTTGCTAGTCATTAAGCAATTCATAACTTCATCGCCAATTGCCTGGAACAGACATGAAGTATGGCTTCTCCAAGGTAAAAAAAAAAAACCAAGGGAAGTTCTCACCGCCAATTGCCTGGAACAGATGCAAAAACTTCGACATAATCATACCCTCTTTATTTCAGCGGAACTTTTGTAACTTATAACTAATAATATACTGTAAATAATATAACGGTAACATAATTTGATTGGGTGGTGCAACCCTAAAGTATTTCATATGCGACGAACTAGGGCGGCCGCATATATGCATTGGCCAATCAAAAATATGTGTGCAGTAATTTATAATATATGTCGAAATATACCCTTTATGGCTTTAAAATATGCCCGAAAAAATGCGAAAAAATGTAAAAAAAAAATGCAAAAAAGTTAAAAAAATGCGAAAAAAAAGAGAAAATTTTATTATATTTATTAATCCTTATTAAAATATAAAAAATTTAAAATGGAAATTGATTCCTCC